ATAAGGCTCTGTATTATAATATATGTAAATTTTTGTAGAATTTTAAAATCAAAATTTACCTCTAAAAATCAAAATTTTCAAAAAAAAAAAATTTTTTTTATTTTTTTTTATTTCAAACAAAATCCACAGCTCTTTGTTACATCGTACATACATCTTATGATCTTAAATTATAGCCAAAAACGGATTTACATTATTTAAATAGTATTTTCAATTTATAACGGACATGTTGAAGACAAAGTAGTTGGGACTAAAAATACATATTTTTAAACATCTAGAAAACATTACAAGAAAATTAAAAGATTTTCAACATGCATAATGCTCGTATGCGCCTCCCTCGCACGCGGGCATGTGTGTGTGTGTGTGTGTGTGTGTGTGTGTGTGTGTGTGTGTGTGTGTGTGTGTGTCTGTGTGTGTGTGTGTGTGACTGAAACTCACTACATCAGATGTTTCAAGACATCCTTCTTAAACTTATCCTTACTGGAATGGAAAATATCAACCGAGTGGAATCTTTTATTATAAACTTTTTGTAAACGATTCACCAGAGAGTTTTGTGCATAGTTTGTCTTTGTCTTAACAACCGCAAACGAAGGTGTATGTCTCGTTCTACGTTTCGGAGTACAAAAGCAGAGAACTCTATCAGCTAAAGTTACACAGTCAATACTTCCATTACATAGACCATGCAAAAATGTCATGTCCATTAGAGTACGTCTATCCTTAAGGCTTATTATATTGAAATATCTACAAGACTCTTCATAGTTATTAGTGTTAATAAAATTTCTATACCTTAAATGTCTCAGGAATTTGTGCTGAATTTGTTCTAAGTGATTTATATGAACAGTGTAATGCGGGTTCCAAACAGTACTGCAATATTCAAGGACGCTTCTAACATATGAAAAGTAAAGTAATTTAATACAGTTAATATCAGTAAAGGGTCTGCTTACGCGTAGGATGAAGCCAAGGCTTTTGTAGGCCGAGTGCGTTATTGTTTCAATATGTTCTGAGAAGCTTAACTTGCAATCCAGTAATATCCCCAGATCCTTCACTAATTCTTTCTTAGTTATATTAAGGTGATTTATTTGGTAGTTGAAATTTGTAGGTTCTCTTTTCCTTGTGAAAGAAACATAAAGACACTTGCTGACATTAACTCCTATACGATTTACTACATAATAGTTACCAAGTCGCACAAGATCATCTTGAAGTTTCATGCAATCTACATAATCAGTGATTTTCATATATACTTTAGTGTCATCAGCGTACATCAAAAACTTAGCATTATGAAAACACTTGCCCACATCATATAGATAGCACACGTACAGTAGAGGACCCAAAATAGAACCTTGTGGAACTCCGGATGTTATTTCCACGAAGTCAGAACGGAACCCTCCTAAGACTACTGCCTGAGATCGTTTCCACAGATATGATTCCATCCACCTGAAAAGGTTACCTCGTATGCCCAGCTCAAAAAGCTTACGTAGTAATATGATGTGATCTACGCGATCAAAGGCTTTCTCAAAGTCAGTGTAAATGACATCTACTTGCGACCCTCCATCCATATTTGAGGTAGTGTAATCAATAAATGCGCCCAAGTTAGTTGCTGTAGAGCGCCCTTTCACAAAGCCGTGTTGTTCTGGGGGTATTGAAGGTAATATGATGGGGTATATGTGCATATGAACGATTCTTTCTAGCAATTTACTTAACACATTGAGTATTGATATTGGCCGGTAATTCTCAATTATTGTCTTCAGCCCTTTCTTGTGTATAGGTACAACATGGGCTTCCTTCCAAATACTTGGAAAGTAGCCATCGCGAAGACACCTATTGAATAATAGTGCTATAGGAACAGATAAGGATTTTGCACAATTTACAAATAATACAGGAGGCAATTTATCGCTACCGGCACCTTTCGTAATGTCAAGCTTACAAATTAAATTCTTAACTTTCTCTGGATTTATTTCAATATCTTGGATCACATTTAAATTTAAATTATCAGATCGTATAGTCAAATTATTGTCAATAGATTTAGTAAAATTACTTTTAAAAAAGTCGTTAAATGACGAGCAGATTGCTATTGGGTTATTCACTTTAGTGTCTCCGTATGTCATTTCTTGAGGATAATCAGAATGGTTTTTACGCTTAGACTTTACATAACTCCAGAAAGCTTTGGGGTTATGTTTAATATTCTCTTGAGTGCGTGCTAGGTATAGTTTATAACATTGTTGCTGTAGTATCTTTTGTCGTTTTCTCAGCTCCGAAAAGTCTGCGTAATCAATCGGATTTTTATGCTTCTTCCAACTAGAGTGCAATTTACTCTTTTCTTTTATAAGGTTAATTAGTGCTCTGCTGTACCATATTGGATAAGAATAATTACCACTACATCGGATTTTAGGAACGAATTTTTCAATTAATTCATTTATTATACTGTAAAATTTATCAGTAACGCGATCTAAACTTGTTTCCCTTGTGATAAAAGCCCAGTCTTGTCTCAAAAGTAAATCATTCATACTACGGTAGTCTGCTCGCTTAAATTGATATTTAGTCCTAAAAGAAGGCCTACATGAAGGTACTAAGATGTCCGTCGCAGATATGTAAAGAGCTGGATGATATACATCTTCTATAACAAGCACAAATTCAGATTTTTGAACTTTTATCGGGAAAGATGAAAAGATTAAGTCTAGAGTGTTCTTGAATGAATGAATGAATATACTTTATTGCACACCACAAACAAATTTACAAAGAACATAACAGAGAGCAGATTACATGTACAATTTGGCGGCCTTATCGCTACATAGCGATCTCTTCCAGGCAACCAAAACTTGCTACTGTTTAAGAGTGTATTGTATTGAGAAAGGCCTATGAAAGAACAACAAGATATAAGATCAGATGCTGCAGTTTGAACTTCGACTGATCCTTTCCTACGTACAACTGGGTCTCCAGAAGTCCAGTCAATACATGGTAAATTAAAATCTCCTGTAACAATTATATAGTCATTTGGGTATTTATCACGAACAGCTAACAGTGTGTTAATGAGATCCTTTATGCGCGAAGATATTTGATGATTAGGTGGTATATAAACTACTGAAATGTGTATGTCATATGAAGAGCCTATGTTACTTCCTGGAATGGTAATCCAAATGCATTCCAGATCGGTATTATTCCATTCTGGTCTCATGCGCGCGTGTAGCTTTGATTTACAAAGTAACATTACACCACCTCCCAATGATCCTCGATCTCTGCGAAAAATTTTATAACTATCGTCACTTAGTTCTGCGTCCAAAATACCATCACATAACCATGTTTCAGAAATCATAACTACATCGATCTCAGACAGTAACAGATTATTATAAAACGTATTAGTCTTTGTTCGTAGCCCTCTAACGTTTTGATAAAGCAATGTAAGGTTGTTACTATTTTTACTATTTTCATCCATTTCTGATAGGGTAGTAGTGGTGAAATCGATAAACGTACACTCTATAAAATGTTAAATATTTAAAGGAAAAATAAACTATTATTTTTAAGCCAAAGTTATTAATTAATATAGATAAATATTCGCAAACCATAATGGTCAATGTATAACTATAAGTTAAGCCGTAGTATTTAATAGCATTTAAATGTGGCACTACGAGAATTTGCTTCGGTTTAAAATAGGAGTGTAGTTCACATGGAAAGGATATACTTGTGAGGTACTCTTGCCTTGCATAATCAATAAGTGTGTAAATAGAGTTGAGTGTAGAGAAGTGTAAAAATATTTTATGTAAGTGTAAGGGAGGATAATTGCATACATTGAAAGGTGAGTAATTATTAAATATCAAACAGTGTTTTACATTATTTTGGATATATCGGTTGATGAGGATATTGGAATAGGGGGTGAGGCCTCGTCCTTTCGAACGAAGATACGGCAGTTTTTTGTCCAAACAAATTTATAATTTATCTCCTTGGCTTTTTGTTTGCATGTATTTAAAAGAATTTTATTTTCTTTTGTAAGGTGCTCATTGATATAAACTCTGTTAGTCTCATCACCCATTCCCAAATCCTTAGCATTCAGAGTACGATACTTGCGACCCGCTGCTATAAGTTTGTCTTTGACGGCACGTTGTCTTAGATGCACAACAATGGGGCGTGCGCGGGCAGCACTCACAGCGCGCCGAGGTTGGACCCGGTGTGCGAAATCGATATCAGTGTGCTGAATAGGAGCCCCAATATGCTGCGAGAGTTTCAATACTATTTGTTTAGTATCTTCGGCCTTATTCTCAGGAATCCCTGTTATCTCTATATTCTGCATTCGTGACCACTGTTGTTGTCTCAAGTTTTCGTCTTCCAATGCTTTAATCCTTGCAGCTTGTGCAGTAACACTATTTTTTAGACTTTTATTTTCTTCTCTTATACATTTCAATTCAGAAGTGGTCGTTGCAAGCAGCTTTTTTAGTTCTACGAGCTCTTTGCGAAAATCCTCATATTGCCCACTAATAAACATTGAAGACTCCTGATATCCGGAACACTGGTTTTTTATTGTGGTTAACTGATCTGATAATTCCTTCAGGCTTGATTGAATAACGATTCTTAATTCTTGTCTTTCAGCCTCCAAGACATCCTTCAACTTTTTTTCCGTTATGTAGTCAAATGTTAAATCAGATTTTTTACGCAACGTTACATTCAAGTTATCTGCGTTATCGAGAACTGCCGACTCCGTCTGGTGCGATGGGCGTATAGGTGTGTTTGTGTTATCCTTCTTAGGTATTTTACTTTTACATTCCAGGCATCTCCAATTACGCTTATACTCATCATTTAACGCTCTATACCGTTGTGGTGAGATATTAGCGCATTGAAGGTCGTACTTCTGTTTACAACCAAGGCAGGTCATGTATCTTTTATCAGATATTAATGCTCTGCAAGCTCCACAGAATTGTTTATCCATTTTAGGCGCAATAGAATACTCTAAAAACAACTTTTAAAATTTTCTAGAAAAAGTTTGTTAACTAGCATATGCTAATTATTTTATCCAGGCGCTAAAAGATTAGCAAGTAAATATTGCCCTACTACGTCACAGTGAGCGAATTGCGAGTTGGGGTAGGTCCGGGAGATTGAAGATATAAGATTTTATAAATGTTAAAATGCTTCTTACTCCACAATTTCTTGATGTTTTATTGTAGTAATTACACAGACACAATCACCGTCATATAAGGTTCACACACGTATGTAATAGTCGCAATGTTTCGCACTATAAACAGATATTTTGAATTTTAAATAGCCACAAAATTCAAACGATGTTTAATCTTCAACTGCCCTCCTATTATATGAAAATAGGAATTTATATTTAATTGTAAAAAATTTAACTAAAGGGGGCTTAAAAAGCCAAAAGATTAATATAGACGTAATCTCGACACCGAGACCTTTTGAACGAGCCCAAACACGGGTCAAATCAATTAAGAGACGGCCAAGATAGAGATAAGTTGTCTGGACCGGCGGCCATTTTGAAAATTTTAAAAACTTAATAGCTCTGTTTGTGGAAGTCGTAGCGAGTTACGGTTTTGGACTGTACTATTAGTGGATCGATTTCTACCCACCTACAAAGACTCGGGCTTTTTTGAGCCCTAGTTTTTCAGGGTCCTGAAATCGATCCTATCTGAAAGACCGGGAGAGGGGCAGTAGTATAGTCCAAACGCTGGTCTTCTGCGATTTCTGGAAGCAGAGTTATTGGCAATCAAACATCTAGTTTGACAGTTCGGCAGCCATCTTGGAAATCTAAAATAGGCCATAGCTGCCGAACTAGAAGTCGTACAGGACTGGGGTTTGGACCCCAGACGTCGGCAAGTAGTGCCGGAACAGATAACTCAGCTTTCAGGAAATTTCAGCATCCAAAAAATTAAATTCCTGAAAGCTACATTATATTATAGCCCTGGTCGAGCCCATCAAAACGAGCCCAAGCACGGAGCTGTAGGCCCACCTGTTCAGGAGTTACAGCGCATTAACCATAAATTTGGCGGCCATCTTGTTTGGAAACCATAATTTGGAAGCGCTGTAACTTGGAAACCTTTTGGGCTATGTATGCCGAGTTTGGGTTCCCTGAATAGGGCTCGAGGAGCGCTTTCAGCTGGTCCATAAAAATAGACTCTAGGTAGAGTCAGAACTCTGTTAGACTGTAACTCTCTGTTATATAATATTTTTTAGGAATTTTTTTTAATAGTATTAGATATATACCTCCCAGAAACTTTAATAATCATTAGACAATTATCTTCTATGTATATTTAGTAAATAAGATAGAATAACTAAATTGATTAGTTAGTAATATTGGACTTGTAAATAGGTTTATAGACTGACTCTAGATAGAGTCAATTATAGCTTTAAAAATATAGAAATACGACTAACTCTAGGTAGAGTTAAATACAGACACGATAAAAAATAACTCTTTTAAGAACAGTGACATATTACTCTGCAATAAGCAGTATATCAGACTTAGGAACCGAACGAAGGTAGAGTAAACTCTACGTAGAGGAAAACCTGGAACGATCCGTGACGTGGTTGCTGTGGTTTTCATCGCTTGAAAATACATTAATCTACCGCAGTATTGTCGAAATTAAATAATTTATATTATTATTAATTTATAACTTATACAAACTTTTAAATTTTAAATTTGACTAATATTTACACTTTACATTTTATTTATTTGTGTTGGTTGCTGAGACCAAAGGACGCGTTCCCTTGATATAATGTTTGGCTTCCGTACACATTCCGTGCACTTCCGTTATAATGTTTGGCGTTCAAAAAAGACGGAGGAAAGCGATAGAGACTTGAGTCCTCAGGGTTCTCCAAGCAAGACGGAAAAGACAGAGAAGGCAGGTCCTTCCTCTAAAAAAAGACTGCACGATGCAAGTCCCAAGCGTGCTGAAAAGTATTGGAGAATGGGAGACTGAAAAATAGAAACGGAACCTACAACACAGACCTCTCCAAAAAAGGTAGCCCTGGTGGCCCGGCAAAAGCAAAGGATACTACCATCGCAAGAGACAAGAGGAGCAGTACGCTTACGTACTACCACCGCAACTCTGGTAGCAGCCGAGAACTTAGAAAGCTCGCCGAAAATGGAAAGCACGAAATACGCGGATCGTTTGACGGAGGCTCGAGCCTGTCTCCACAAGGCTGAACACCACCTTAGCAACTCTCGAAACCTGAGGACTGACATTAAAATGGAAGTCAGTCAGGCTATAGAGAGACTCTACTACTTAGTAAAAGAGGCAGAGACAGGCAAGAGCAAAGGAAAAGAGGAAAAATCGAAAGAACAGGAACAGAAAGATGAGAGACAGGAAGATGAAAATAGAAAAAGAAAGGAAGAAGAGCAAAATCTAATGACAAAACTGGAGGAGCATGGAAAACTCCTAGAGGACAGTAGGAAAGATATGGAAAAACTAAGAGAAGAAATGAAAAGGCAAGAAATTAAAGTAGACAGAGGGACATATGCGAGTGCAGTGGCTGGGCCACCAAGGAGTTCACCTTCACCTTTAAAAGATATGGCATTGCATTCAGTAATGATCACATCCAATGACGAAAAAGAGACGGGAGATCAGGTAATGGAGAAAATAAGAAAAGTAATCAACGCTAAGGAAGAAGGACTACAAATTGACAAAATCAGAAAGGCAAGGGATAGAAAGATAATAATGGGATGTCGAACGGAGAAGGAGATAAGTAGGGTTAAAGAGAGGTTAAAGAACGCAGAGAAAGACCTTAAAGTGGATGATATTAAAAACAAGGATCCTCTAATTACCTTAAAAGACGTGTTGCAGTACAACACGAATGACGAGATACAAAAGGCAATTGTGGTACAGAATAAACACCTCTTCAAAGACCTTTCGGACAGAGAGATTAGAATGGAGGTTAAATATAAGAAAAGGACCCGGAACCCGCACACATCCCACATCGTTATGAGAGTTTCGCCACAAATATGGAACCGTTTAACTGAAGCAGGAATGATCCACGTTGACCTACAAAGAGTGAGAGTGATGGATCAGTCCCCCTTGGTACAATGTTCGCGTTGTCTAGGTTATGAGCATAGTAAGCGCATGTGCACCGAGACGACAGATGTGTGCAGCCACTGTGGGGGCACACATCTGAAATCCGAATGCGCTGAATGGTTATCTGGAGCACTGCCTGAATGCAGAAATTGCAGTAAGACAAAGCAAGGCAACAAAGAGCACAATGCATTTAGCCCTGACTGTCCGATAAGGAAGAAATGGGAAGTCCTCGCCAGGTCTACCATAGCATATTGCTAAGGTTGTCCCAAAGTCCAACACGGAACCAAACATCAGTGACCACCGATATCACGCTATCCAGGCGAACTTACAAAGATGTGAGCTAGCCACGGCCGAGCTAATCATTGAGGCGGCCAAGAGGAAAACATCTTTTGCATTGGTACAAGAGCCCTATATAGGTAGAATTGGACAGATGAAAAACTACCCAGGCACGCGAATAGCACAAAGTGACAGAAGCCAGAACACTAATAAAGTGATCAAGGCTGCTATTGTGCTGTTCGACGATACCATAGACATGGCACAGTGCCCCAGTCTAACAACGGAGAACATAGCAGTTGCTAAATTGAGGACTGGGGCATGGGAACTAGGCGTAGTGTCCGTCTACCTTGAGGGAGACGAACCAATTGAACCGTACCTTGAAGTGATTGGGGCGGCCGTGGTGGGCTTACGGACTAGGAACGTGATACTCGGTGGGGACGTAAATGCATGGAATACCTGGTGGGGAAGCCGAAAACCAGACAGCAGGGGAATTGAAGTAGCAGCTAAGCTGGATGAACTGGAGCTACATATCCAGAACAGGGGGACTGAGCCCACATTCGACGTATACAGACTTGGGAAGAGATTCTCCAGCTGTGTAGATCTGACTACCTGCTCGACTAGCCTACTCGGGAGAATAGAAAACTGGAGACTTTCCGAAGAAATAACCAGCTCGGACCACAGGGCACTCCTATTTGATATAAATCTAGAGAAATCAATTGGCACAAATATAAAAAGAACAACCAGGGTTTACAACACCAAAAAAAGCAAATTGGGGCGAGTTTCGTGAGAAACTCGCAAAAATTTGGAAAAACAAAAGACTGAATAACGCAGAAATAGACAAAGTAACAACTACAGATGATATAGAAATAAAAATAGAAGAATATACAAAATCAATAGCTGAAGCATGCGAAAACTGTATTCCAAAACTAAAAAACAAAAAACAAATGGGACTGCCCTGGTGGACTCACGAGCTGACACAACGGAAAAAGGAAGTCTCCAGGCTGAGACGTAGGATCTCTTACTCAGCACCGGTTCGACGCGGGTGGGTTGTCGAGCAGTATAAACTAGCGAAAGAACAATACCAACAAGAAATAAAAACAGCGCAGACTACCAGCTGGAAAAAATTCTGTGGCAAGCAAGAGCGAGAAACGATGTGGGATGGGATATACAGGGTTATTAATCGTACAAGAGTACGACAGGAGGACACTCCACTTGTTCGAGATGGGAGGTCCTTAGAAAGTAGGGAATCGGCCAGCTTCCTGGCGGAAGTCTTTTATCCGGAGGATAGAATTAAGGATGATGACACGGAACACAAGCAAATTAGAGAAACAGCGAAAACTGTAAACGAAGGGTCACATGATAGTCCATGTGACCCACCTTTTACAACGGAAGAGCTGATGTGGGCCGTGTCAAGCTTCAATCCGAAGAAGGCGCCGGGAAGCGACGGATTTACAGCGGACATTTGTGGAGTAGTCATCGCCCTGGACTCAGCATTGTTTCTGGCGATAGCAAACAAATGCCTTAGTCTCGCTTACTTCCCCGTCATATGGAAAAAAGCAATAATAGTGGCGCTGAGAAAGCCTGGCAAGGAAAATTACACACACCCGAAATCTTACAGGCCGATTGGGCTATTGCCTGTACTGGGCAAAGTCTTCGAAAAAATGGTGGTTCGAAGGGTCAAGTGGCACATCGTACCGACAATAAGCCGGGAACAATACGGGTTCATGCCACAGCGCAGT